CATATTCCTTATTAAAGGACACATGCATGCATCTCACTTAACACAATGTTAAACTTTTTAAATCTATGAACACATTCAATCAACCTAACTAATTGGTCGAGAAAATAGTAATAGTTACACCAAAATAAGAGAGTAACACATATTAATGGCAAAAAGGTCCTTTTTCCTTTCTGATACAATTAAATTGAGCAGATAATTACCAAATCACATCTATCTCAATAAAGATAATCAAGATCCATAATTATTTCACTCAGATCCAGCAATATTCCATCACATTGAGATAAAACTAAATCGAAGCCCAATCTATAAAGGATTCAACTGCATTCAGCTGTTGAGATACAAAATTCACCGCGGCCTCAGATTCAGTTGATGCAAGGCGGGAACCTAATTCTCGCTTAAAAAGAATCGACTTCAATTATAAACCATATAGTAATATGAATTAACATTATCAGATGCGCATAATTTCTGTACGAGGAACTTGATTCCCGACCTGCACCAAGCGAATTAGAGACCGCCGCAATACATAATAAGTTTGTCTACACATACAAGATCTGAGCTACAAAAACGAGGGCGTAGGTGTAGGAGTAGGCGTGCCGGGTGGGCCGCCCTACCAAGGGAAATTTGATATTGGTGTCGGATATGAAAATGTGAAGTGGGTGCTCGGTTATTTGTAGGTAGAATCGACGCACGAGATCATGCCACGTTTGATTCTGGGATGAAAATCGTGAACGATTCAATTCCAGGTCATAGATTTCAAGATAATTACGGCTAGTGCCATTTGAATGAATGAAGTGGCTTCAACTGATTTTTTTTTTTTTTTTTTTTTATATATTCAGGTATCCCAATTTACACCAAACTAAATTTTGGACCCCCAAGACCCATCGTAGTAGAGATGGCAACGGCGTGGAATGGAATCGGGGTGCGACGTTGTCTCGTCCAAACCCCGCCCCACTCCGCCTTAGACGGGGTTGGGCGGGGACGAGGTAACTTTTTGCCTCGTTTATTATTATAATTTTATTTTTTTTTACATTTTCCAAGTTTCAAGATATGTTATTATTAGAGAATAAAATATAAATTCAAAATAGATTTTTAACAGGTGAATTGTTTAGAAATAAAATTATTTTTTTATTTTTTTCCTTCACGGGACAGGGGGCAACAGGGCACCCCGCCTTGCCCCACTAACCCGTTCGGGGTGGGGCGGATTTTTTTGTCATCACTAAATCATAGACACGTGTTGCTTCAAATGAGTACGTTAGAAGAGTAAAGCTACTTAGTCAGGCTTAAAAACATTGAGTGAAAAGACAGATTGATGTGTTAGAAAATGATTCAGTATTTTTTATTTAATTTTTCAAACTGTCCAATCATACGTCAACTCGTGTCTCATCTGAATTTGAATTTGAATGTGTAGCATAATTGATGTTAGAATATAGTAATGATACTTGACCAGGATCAGTGACAATGATGGAGGTGATAGGGTGGTGTAGCAGATAGTGATTGAATGTTATGTTTTTTTCCAAACTGTTCAATTATGTATTGACACGTGTCTCTTCAGTCATTGAGCCTGTCACTGTAGCAAGATTAGTTAGAATAATTGAATGACATATTTTAAAAAATTATAACTAGGCTCCCCAATTTAAGATATAAGTTTTAGAATTTCAAAAATTATATGACAATTAAAATTTATTAATTAAATAATTAATTAAAGATTTCATTAATTGAATATATTAAGTCACAATTCAGTAAAATTTGGTTACAAATTAATTATTGAAAACAAATCAAAAATTTTATAAATCATAATTTATTCATCGATTACAAACCACAAATTTTATAAGTCACAATTTATTTCTTGGTCACAAATTATCATTATCAAAGTGATTGCCATGACTACGACCTCATCAGCATTGCCAACATCGCTACTACCTCACCGTTACAGCCAACATCACAACCATCACCACCCAGCCACCACTAAAAAATCATATTCAAAATTATCACAATCGTTACTCCGACGTCTCGATGTTGCGTGACAGCGACGACTATTGAAGATTTACAGCGACGTCTTGGCATCGCGTGTCTGTAGTGACATTCGGCCATCGAGGGACTGGGCATCTTGCATCAGCATCAGTTTTTGCTTTTTTTTTTTTTTTTGTTTTTTTGTTTTTTTGTTTTTTTTTTTTTTATCACAGTGGCTACTTTCAGAGCATCGCAACTATGGTTGAGTAGTAAGTCGAGCCGGCGGGATAAAGAAATATAGACAGAGAATGGAGAAGAAAGGAAAGTAATGAGGGTTTGGGATGAAATTTGGTGGGTGGATAAACAGGGATATCCTATAGCACCACGCCTAAGCCCTCCATTAGTAAAAGATTGGTACATCGTATTTATGCAATAAATTACCCAATAGAATTTCATATTAATGAAAATGACTTTCAAAAGTTCGAGAATGTAGACTCTACCGTCTTATAAAAAGAGATGCGGTTGTGTTGAAAATGTTGAACTCAATAGATAAAAAAAATAGAATTTCGATGAATCATTAGGGATGTCAAACGGGTCGAGCGGCTCGTCGGCTCGATTGCTCGACTTGTTAAAACTTGACTCGTGGACGGCTCGGGTTTGTCAAATGACGAGCCCGAGCCCGAGCCCGAGCTGAGCCTGCTTGGCTCTTCGAGCCCACGAGCCGTTTTCACGAGCCCACAAGCCGAGCTTGTGGGCTCATCCAAAAATAAGAAATTTTTTTAAAAAAAAAAGTGCAAAAAATAAATAAATAAATAAATAAAAACACGAGCTTGCGAGCGGTTCGTGGGCAGAGCCGAGCTCGGCTCGTTTTTCATGAGTCACGAGCTCGTGGGTTAAAGGGCCAAGCCGGCTCGACTCGGCCCATTGCTATCACTACGAATCATTATAAAATAAGCCCAGCTTGGCCCAATTTTTTGAAGAGCTATGCTATACTTACAAAGTAGGTTGACAAAATAGCATTCACACCAATCATTTCAAAAACAGATTTTTAAATCATTTGAAATCAATGGTTTGGATTTTACCAACACATCTTTTGTCAACCAATTTTGTAAGAGAACTTTGAACAAGTAGAATTATTGTTTTTTGAAACTCAATTCTTTTAAATTTATTTTTTATCACACATTTTATGGATCCACAACTTTTATCTACTTTTCATTCAGGGTAATTGCCACAAAACGTCCATACCTTTCAAGTTTATTGTGGAAACGTCCTTACCTTTCATTTTTTTTGGAACATTTTTGCCCCTATTTCCATTTTTCGTTGCGCTGAACATCATTTTTACCATTTTTTGACGTAAAATGACCAAAATACCCTCATATTTAAACCAAAAAAATAAAATAAAATAAAATTGCAACTATAGTCCCATACATTCCATATGTGCAAATCAGCCCAAAATCTACATGCCATCCACTTCCTAAAAATTTCCTACTTTTCCACCTTTTTATATACCCGCTCCCAGTCCCAGACCCTTTCGTACCCATATTATCGTTTCAAAATTCAGTATCAACAATTTAACTAATTCTTGTACTTAGAATTGAAGAGGAAATGGAGAAAGGAAATCAGTCGTCTTTTTGACAATTTAGTGATGATTTTCGACTTGAAGGAAGCTTGAATGACTCAATTGGGAGCACCAACTATTCGACCAAACGCCCCACTGAGTAGAGGAATTTCAACATAAGTTCCTTTGAATGACTCAATTTGGACCAAAGTTGAATGAAAAGAAAAACTTGACATTATGATTTCTTGATCTAGATGTTCCAAATGGGAATTGCTCTGCCACAGCTTCTTCTCAATATAATAAATATGCATCTGGTGGGATATTGTTAATTTGGATTTCTTGAGGTCTGTGTAACGTGACCAATGGTGATGGCTATTGTTAAAAAAGTTAAAAAATAAATTGATACCAACGGGAGAGGAAGGAGGCCAACGGGAGGCGCCTAGTTAAGTGAGAGATTTTTTTTTAATGTTTTAATAAGGTTTTTGGACTGATTTGCACTTTTTTAAAAGTTTGGGAGTATGAGTGCAATTTGTTCTTTATTTTTCAATTCTTTTTGTTTTTGTTTAATTTAAATAGAAGGGTATTTTGGTCATTTTAAGTAAAAAAAATGGTAAAAATGATGTTCAGTGAAATGAAAGGTGGAAATAGAGGCAAAAATGTCAAAAAATGAAAAGTATGAACGTTTTCCACAATAAATTTGAAAGGTAGGAACGTTTTGTGCCAATTATCTTTTCATTCATACATCTAACCAATTTTGTCAAAATTTAAGGCTTGTTATGTCCGATAGTGATTTTGATAATTGATTTTTTGACCGTTAGGAAAAAAGTGGAAGCTATCTGTGAGAAAAAAGTAAAAAATGATGACTTGAATAGTGAAATAACGGTAAAAAAATTAATTTTTTGGGGTAAAAAATCACTCCCAAACAAGCTCTTAACATAATCTAATTTTTAGCCAAACAAAACAAGGTTAACTACAATTATTGGTTTCATAACTTAACCATTAAGCCAATAATCCACACACACACACACACTATGATTCAGGTGTCCGAGTTTCGTTCGGCTAATTCTGAGGAGCGGCAACCTTCCCCCTCAGTTCGTCGTTCAAGTAAATTCGAATGCAGTCAGCCAATACTTGTAGTTGCTTATTAACAAAAGCTGAAAAGCATTTTTTAGCATTTCTTTTGGTCTTTGCTTACTCACGCGTGGTACATTCTTTGACTCTAAAGAACACATCAATCATAAAATATTCAAACTTGCTTTTTCAAATTTCTTCGAGATCATATATTTTTAACATAAAAAAGTACCTTTGATTGGAAAAGAGAGTTTTATAGGCTTTTCCATCAGTCCAGATGCAATTTCGAACATAATTGTGTACCTATCACGTTGGTTTCAATCATTTAAAATGGTCGAACGATTAGTGACCTTCTCAACTTACTCTATGTGAACTTGAAAAATCAACTTGTTTCTACTCTATTTTCATTACCGACGCCCTTTGTAGTTTGCAAATGTTTTTATTGAATATGAAGCGAGTAATAGAAATCTTGAATACGAAGATAGTAAAAGAAATTAGTTCAATGAGATAGTGCACAAAAAATGTTGTGTCCTGAAAGCTTCTCGGCCTGCAGCTCTCCCCGTCCCCCCTGCAAACGGAACTTGGATCTGGGGCCTCAAGAGGAAAAATTATTTCGATCTCGATCTACATTTTGGGAATATCCTAGTTCCATCAACTGGTAAATGGAGTTTGCAACGCAAACGCAACCAGTTCTCAACTGAAGCAATTGGACCTGTCCCCCATCGAATTTTAGTCCTCCCTTTAAGATCAAAGGTTAATATTCTCTCCCTCAAAGACCTGCTAACACCTTCAGCATCTTCGGGACTCAATGGGATCGTACTCGGCTCAGGTACGTAGTTGAACTCGACAGAACTATTTGCATTTAGATAAAACGGTTCAGCAACCAGACGAGCCATTTTCACCCCTTGAAAGCTTAGAAGGAACCTCATGCCATAGAAACTCGAATGAGCCTTGTCATTGTCATTCTCAGCCTTGATCACAACCGAAACTTGGACTGTTAACATACTTATTTGATCAAAATATAGGTTGTCAAGTTGTGCACTTGCTACACTTATTTGAGGCACCTTAGGCCTTATGACAATGTAACCGACGAAAACCAAAATGCCGGCTATGCTCACTGCCGCCAGTAGTAACCAGCAAAATATGCCCGCGCACCAGCTGATAGGATTAGTATCTGACTTTGACATCGGAAGGTAGTGTTGATATTGATATTAAAAAGAACGTCGTTGAGACGATATCAATATATTCGATATGAATACCGACTTTGGCGTCGGAGGAGGTGATATCGACAAGAACTTCCTAGGAAGGATATTAATATATTGGAACGGAATTTTCGTTCCGATCAGGTGCTTTAATGAATTGAGAGTGTAAGCAAACAAAAGTTCGGAAGATAAAGGATTGTAGGGTTCTTGGGTGTAATTGGTGGGGAAGGTTTTGGTATCTTCTTTTCCCAAGGATAAAGTGATCTTAATTAGGCTTGTGCTGTAAATCCAGGAATTTTAATGACTTTACCTTGAAATGCGATGCCAATCTTATTGGATAAATGGTGCATATTTACGTTTCCTTTAACGAAAAATACAGTTATCGAAATTACGGTATGTGCTTAATAATGAGCAAATTACGACTTACTCAAACGTATAAAATGTAGAAATTTGAAGGAGATAAAATGAAACAAGGTCTTTTATTGTAAATTTTGTCTTGTGCACTGGTACTAACATGATCAAATGGATGCTCATTTCTCAAGATACATCGCTTCTTCCAAAATTAATATAATACAATACTAATTTTGCTGAACGAACCAATGCTTGACTATATTCTTCTAGAACAAAATATATCGAATACTAAATATCGAACACGAAACTCAGAAATAATTTGAAAATTATTTTGACATACTTTGATGAAGAGAAAGAATTAGAAATCAAGTATATGGAATTGATTTAGAATGAAGAAAAAGGAATTAGGAGGATTCAATTTATAGATTTCAATGTGTCTTTTCAAATGGTTATATCCTTTGATACAAATTAATTTTAATGTTTAAATCACACCATTTCATATTTAACGGTGTAGATTGTACCATATAAAAAGGTAATACTTTTCATCATGCACATTTTTGAATAGTCACGCCCATCCCAAAACAAATGACTATTTGATATGCACCATTACAATTAAAGATCGCAGTTAATTACCACACCAATTAGAGACTTTATAATTCACACCTATAAAAGTACCCGTAACTTCACCTACAGACTCTTGTGTGCTATATCTTTTTTTTGTTCGCAATTCAAATTTTCACCCTTCGAAAGCCTTTCATGGAAAATATAAGATGGTTTTTGGTTTGTCATTTTAAAGTCATTTTCAGTTTTCTAAAATACTTAAAATGTATTTGGTACATTTTCAAAATTGTGTTCTTCAAAATAAGAAAATTTTTACAATATAAAACTCAAAATAACTTTTTGATGTTTTAAGTGTTTTCATTGAAAACACTCAAAAAAACTCAAAATAAGGAAAATAAATTTAAAATTTTCTCTAATTAAAATAATTAATAAAATCACATAAAATCTACCCAAATACAAATACCCATATCTCTCGTCCCATACTCCTCTAAGAACCCTCGTGGAGAATACATCTCTCTTGTGCTATTTCTCAAACTATTTCTAAAATTTTTATACCAAACGTGTTTCTGCAATCTTAAAATAATCCCTTAAAATAGAAAATATAAAACTAAAAATGCAAATAAACGTACCCTAAGGGCCTAGTTCTTCCTTGGTTAATTACAATATAATCAAATTTGTGAGTGGTGTTGACCCTTTCTTTTTTTGCAATGGCAATGTAGAAAATAGATGTAAGGTCCACTCGTACTTATGCGTGCAACTTCAGGTACGTTTCAATCGAAATAACCAATCGGATGATCTTCAACAACAATGGACGTGGAATATGCTCAGTCGCAAGAGACGAATATGTTCGAGTACCGACAATATGGTCGAAAATAATTACCAATGGACAAATAATCACAAGCAATTTCACCAAAGTAGAAATAACTCAAACCGAACAAAATAAAATGTGAAAATAAGAGCAGTTTTTATTAGAATTCTTGCATATTAATTTGGGTGTTTTCTCTCCCCTTCAAAATGTTACAATAGACATTATTTAGAGTGCTCCAGCCAATGTGGTGATCGTTGGATCAGAACCAAGTCGCTTCATCTCGTTGACTAAAGCCTTACATCACCCCATCTAACATTAAATATATTAACAAGTGGTCAGTCGCCCTATACTCTAATCTGACATTCCTGACATTAATTAATAGGAACTTTACATCAATCAATCTTGCAGATACTCTGTAGATCCGTTTTAGAGGTGTCAAGTGCTTCAGTTTTGAGAGAGAGCTTCGGACATGTTGCTGCTCGGTCAGAAGAGAGAGTGCTTCGGTCCAAGGGCTTAGGACTAGGATAGTACTTCGGTCAACGAACAACTTGTTTCTTCATTTTTGATCTTGTTGACTGCAGCTGTCTGTATGTAGTACCTCTATGTGACATTGACGTGGTCTTTAATAAGAGCCTAGGACATGAGACGTAACAATAGTCCCCCAGTCGATGAAGATCATTTATGTAATACATGGACTTTTGTGTTGTATTAGAATGAAAAAATCTTTGTAGGGGTGGTTGCGATCCCCTTTTTCTATAATGGCAACGTGGACAACAGATGTCGTGCCTACTCGTACTAATGCGAGCAATATTAGGCACGTTTCAATCGGAATAACCAATCGGAGGATCGTCAACGACAATGGACGTGGGACCGTTGGATCAAAATCACGTGGCCTCATCTCGTAATGTTGTAAGAGTTATTATTTCTAGTGCTCTAGTTGATATGGTGATCGTTGGACCAGAACCACGTGGCCTCATCTCGTAGACAAGAACCTTACATCACCCTGCCTAACATTAAATATATTGACAAGGGTCAACCACCCTAGACTCTAAGCTGACATTCCTAGCATTAATTAATACAAACATTATATCAATCAATCCTACATATACTCTGCAGATCCGTTTTAAAGGCAGCAAGTGCTTTGGCTTTAAGAGAGAGCTTCAAATGTGTTGTGGGTCAGTCAGAAGAGGGAATGCTTCAATTCAAGGGCTTCAGATGAAGATAGTACTTCGGCTAAAGAATAGCTTGTTCCTTTATTTTTGATGTTGTTGACTGCCACCTATTCGTGTGTAGTACTTTTACGTGGTATTGATGTGGCTTTCAGTAAAAGCCTCGGACATGAGGTGTAACAAGTGGGTTCCCCAACAAATTTGTAAGATAGTATTTAAGATCCCCAGCTTTATATTTTAGCCTTTAGATCTCAAACTTAAGCAGTAAAAAGGTGTTTCACTTAAATTGGCAATTTGGGCATTTTAGTAAAATTGTTGGATTGGATGGCCACGTGGCAACCTCTAACTAGTTCAAAGAAATTCACACGGATTGCGCTGATTCGAATGGAATGTGAGCCATTTGATTTGATTTGGCTATGATCTTATTCGTTTTTAATATGGTCTTCTGACATTTGGGCTCCAATTAGTTCAGTTATCAGCCTCCTCTCTCTCTCCCTCTTAAAAATTTTATCGTCTTCTTCAATCTATTTTGTGTAACTTAGAGGCTATAAAACTTGACAACTCTTGTGTTATAGGCCCGTTATTAGTCTATTTTTGTGATTGGTTCGCATCGATTTTACCGTGCGTGATTTAGCTGGTTTAGGGTTGTTCTTGTTCGATTTTCTGAGTTCTTTGTCTTTGATTTGGTTTCTTGTACATTACTCTCTCTAGAAGGCATAGTTTCATATAGTGATCAGGTTGGTTCCTGAGCCCCAGATTAGGCTAGACTTGGTTACTAATTTTGGTGTTCTTTAATTTTTTTCATTTAGTTACTTTTTGTGGTGCTGTAATTTTTTCCAATTGATATATGTTTTTGGTTGATTGAGTTGCTTGGAATTTATGAAGGATTCTTTAGGTGAAATCAGATTTGGGACTAGTAATCCCAACACAAACTTTTCAACTTGAGCAATGTAGGAATTTGGGAGTACTCCAAAAACTCTATAATTGTACCATGGTGTGTATGGAGGAATATCTTCTTGAGGGAATTTCATTGGGTGTCAAAATTTGGTTGTCCATTATAAAAAAGGTCACCTTCTAAATTTTCGATCAAAAATGTCAATTTAGGACATTTTTGACCCTTTGAATAACACTAAATACCTTATATATCCTTGACACTCTGAATTATTTGAAAATCTTATTCTATATTGTTGAAGAAAACTATGTATGGCAAATCTAAAATCACGCACCACAATGTGTCATTGACCACAGTAAACGAAATGCAATTGCAACCCTAGTTTTCCCAATTTTTTCTTCCAGTCTCACGCTGGCTGTCTCTCTCTTACTCGTCAGCTCCCTTTTTTCTGGCCAAATCGTCGTCATCGATCATTGATTTTCAGCCACTCGTCTTCACTACTTGGAGACATCGGGTTTGGCTTCTTGCAAACTATAATCCTTCATTGGCACGGCGGTAAAAAAACAACGATCGATGAGCTGGTGGCCTCTCGCATTCACGACCCCGTGCAGCCGATCATTTTGCTGGCATCTCGCATTCACGACCCCGTCCAGCCACTGCAGTTAGAGTAGGTACTACACTTGGATTTCGTTCTTGTTTTTGTATATATTTCATTCTAGTGCATTATGAATTTTGTTTGTGGGTTTAATCATGTGATGAATTTATTGGAATGTTTGATACTTAAATCCGGAAATATGTCTCTGAATGGGAAAATATGTGTTATTTTAATTTGTTATTTTGATAAGGGATTCTTTATATTTGTCTTGGAAAAAGTTGTGAATTTGTTTTTTTGTCTTTGATGAGTCTTGGTATGGCTTAATAATATGGATGATATGATAAACACTTGTTCATAAAACCTTTAGTCAGTCTGCAATTTCCTGATTCACTTGTAAATTATTGACATTCTTTTCGAATTTGCTAATGAATATGTAAGTTCTACATCTGAGAATCCTTCCAAATTATAATTTGTATACATGATTTTTTTTATATTTTCAAGTGCAAGAAACAAGTAACAAAATATAGTAAAAAAAATTATGAATTATAGTAGAATTCTTGCACGAGAATTTCATGGAGGTGCCACCATGGCTGATTATGCAGATGTACTAATACTTACTTTGGAGTCTGCTTCACTCATTCAGAGCATCATGAGACGGAATTGGATCATTTCTGTATTGATTTTAAAAATATATATATGTTGTCATTGTGTTTTGACTCATGCTCTTCACAATTATATTAAGGTTTTATTG